GTATTTGCTCTCATGAAGTCTTCTCTTTATGGTAGACTTAGATACTGATACACCTACTTCCTAGAGAGTTTATGGAATTCATATGGAATTCATTTGCCGATGCTCCAGTTCAAGATGAGACTGGAATTTTTTATGGATTTCAGTTTTTGAGCCACAACGAAGGCCAAACTGTTGGCTTCAACAGATCAGGTAAGCCTTGATTTCAGCATAGCAGTTGTCGATTACTTGTGGCCTCTACTGGCCGGTCAAAAGGAGGGAGCATTCAGTATAAAACACAGCACAGTGAATTAAATATGTGTTTGAGGTTTTTCAAACATTGTGAACTCACTGCAACCACAAGAGGTCATTGTGCGTACAGAAAATATGAGGCTGATAGAACCTTCCAGGAACTTGTGATCACAACAATTAAGACAGATTCTACTAATCCCTGTGAATTCTGCACAACCTTACACTGTTGTCAAATCCCTGCAACTTTGTGTGGCAAACTGGCAAAAAATGTTGCAATATACAAAGCAATTTTTTAGAAAAGATGCCGTGAATCAGGCATTTTATGCCACAACAATCCCAAAATACCCTGTAAAATCCTGAAAGGATTGATGGAATATGAGACAGTAGAAAGCTAAATGTTTTGATAAATATCCTCATGTTCTCCGTAAATGTCCAGAGTGTCTTCATCAAAGGGCTGCTGTACGTTTACAAAGTCATAATCACTATCCTCATCATCCTCTCCTTGTCCCTCAGCAAAGGCATAGACGTCCTCGTTTTCCACGTGTTTGTGACCATTATTCTCCTCTTCCCCATAGTCATTATCTTCATCGCCCTCCTCTTCTTCCATCCCTCTTGTTTGCTCCTGCCTCATCTTGGGGCACACTGCTTCAAAGTTTACGTAACGGTCTTCCTCCTCTTCTTCCTCAAAGTCTTCATGATGGTTCCTGACAGACACTGAAACACAAGTATGGGAACAGAATGTCTCATGAATATTAGAATCAGTTCTCTAAATATCACAGTTAACAAAAAAAGGTTAAACAAACAGCAACAGTCCTATACTGTCATGTGTGTCCTTGTGAACAGACATTGAGTTTGGAAGCTGGCTCCAGGCTGCCTGGTTCGTCGCCTTTGCCTGAGAACCAGAAAGACCACAACCAAGACCAGCAGGGGCACCAGCAGGATCCCAGCAACTACTGTGGAGACCAACAGCAACAAAGGCACTAGGAGAGAAAAACAATGTATCTTAAAACATGTCTGTTTCTCTAGTACAATGTATTTCACAGTGCAACCAGCAAACAAATGTAACAGGTAATAGTATGGTAATTACTGAGGTAATAACCTAGTAATATTTTGGTAAAGGATTTCTTTAATATTACAGTTACATTTTTGTGATAGGGTAAAAATGATACCTAAACAGCAGGATAAAAAAAATCAGGGAAAACAGCACATCTCAGTTGCAAATAATGTAATAAAATAAGCAGTGACGTGCAGTCAGGAGAGGCAATAAAATATAAAATAAACAAATAAATTAAATGGTTATATTTATCAAATGGTTTGAACTATAAACTAATTTTCCATTTAACTTTTATATTTTGATTGTTTTTTATTAAAAATGCTGAATTTTCGAGAAGACGCACAGTGTGGCAGCAGCAAAATGAGCATCACCTTGGATTGCGCAATCTCTCACAAAGAGCGTGTTACTGTCTCTCTATAGGTCGCCAATCAAATTTTAAAAACACTTTTAATATATGCCCCCCTGACTTTCCATAGTTTAGCTGATGTATACAATATATGTGTGTAACCTGTTTCATGTCCTCAGCGATCTTACAACAGCAGTGAAGAGGCACTTGTGAGGCAGGCAGTTCTCTTGCCGCATGGTAGGGGGCACTCGTGGGCCCAGAGATTCTTATGCTACTCCACAGCTGCAGAGTCAGTGACAGCGAGCTAGCAACAATCTTACAGTCCGTGCAGAAGACCATAATAAACTTTTTTTTAAATGAAATGTGCGTCACATAGGCTATAGTTTGTATGTTTAAAGAATGCTGATATGAGATATTAAACATAACCCATTAACCGCTGCCAATCAAATGGTGAATAATCTACTCTGTTGGATTCATATATTTGTAAATCTGATTCTGACCAGCCATGAACCTCACCATATGTCACTGGTTCACAACAATCACTTCATATTATAGTCGAAGAAATGGGGTAAAATACTATCTTTGTACTGGGTGGTGATGTAAAATCACCCAAAAAATCTTTCCTATACCGTATAAAAATATTTTCTTTGTTTTAAAACAATAGCTTCAAACCACTATTATTTATTTATTCTATTTTTCTAATGCCTTTATTTTGATAGGACAGCTGAAAATAGACAGGAAAGTGGGAGAGAGGAAGGGTCAACATGCAGCAAAGGGCCACAGGTTGGAATCGAATCCAGGCCACTGTGCTCAGCCTAAAAGGGGTGCGAGCTCTACCAGGTGAGTGGCCGTGTGCCCCCAAAATAACTTTTTATGGAAACACAAATACTAAAACAGTTCTGGTGTTATGCGAACTACCCTGTTTCTACTTTATTGTACTGGTTATAAGACAATACAAGAGTTGAACATTTAATGCTTTAAACTAAATACCCAAAGGCCAGGATCAATTATTGGAAATACACATACAATCTTTTGTATGTACTGTATTAACCATAAATCTTAGCTGGAAATCTAAACCACCCTTTTTTTACTTCATTGTATTGTTTTGTCGCCTGTTTTAAGACAATAATCATCTTAAAATTAGATTTGGGAAAACTGCCACACCTCTTTCTTTTTAATGGTATTGTTATATCATTTGTTAAAATGATATATAACATCACTTTTATTATTATACGTTATTATTACAGGCTGTAAATTGCTAAAGAAGATCAATTTAAAGTTTAAAGTTGATGATAGAGCTCTGCTCTCCCCACTCTATAATCTACTCTTTTGGATGTTAACACAGAAAACAAGTAAACAACTATCTTAAATTCTGCAGACGTACATGTAATGATGACACTAATCAGTGTTGTTTCAGTGGAAGTGAATTTCCTTGAGGACAGTGTGACTTCATACACACAGCTGTAGTTGCCCTGGTGTTCATACTCAGCTACA